ATTAGGGGTTCGGGTTTAGGGTTTAGGGTTTAGGGTTTAGGGTTAGGGGTTTTGGGTTTTGAGTTTAAGATATAGGGTTGGGTTTAGGGTTTAGGGTTTAGGGTTAGGGTTTGGGGTTATGAGATTAGGATTAGGGTTTATGGTTTAGAGTTTAGGATTTAGGGTTTAGGGTTTAAAGTTTGGATTTAGGGTTTAGGGTTTAGGGTTAAGGGTTTAGGGTTAGCGTTTAGGTTTTAGGGTTTAAGGTTTAGGGTTTAGGGTTTAAGGGTTTAAGGTTTAGGGTTTAAAGTTTAGGGTTTAGCTTTTATGGTTTAGGGTTTATAGATCAGGGTTTAGGGTTTATGGTTAAACGTATAGGGTTTTAGGTTTAGAGTTTAGGTTTTAGGGTTTAGAGTTTAGGTGTAGGGTTTAGGGTTTAGGGTTTAGGGTTGAGGGCTTAGGGTTTAGGGTTAGGGTTAGTGTTTAGGGTTTAGTTGTAACGACCCGAGAGCACCCTCTAGTCGTTAACGGCGTATTCGACCTCGAAGAGGTCTTATACAACCCTTAGAATTCATTATAACATGTATTATAGAATAAAATCACGGAAAATTTAAAACTATTACTTTGGAAGTTCAACTTCATTTCTTATATGAAAATAAAATCTAACTTCTTCACAATGCACCATCTAGACATCGAAGTATCGAAAATGGGACTTAGCCCTTACATCAATAAGAAGTCTTGAAAATAGGAAGAACAACAATGTCTTTCAACATAAGCAAAGAACTAAAATAGAAGCTAGATCATAGTTGTCCTCAGACTTGAGGAAATTTAGTCAAAACATGCTTTTTACGAAGTAAATCCAATATGCACACAAAGAAAGCATCATAGTCCAATCCATCATAATATCATCCCAACATGTAGACAACCCAAGCAATACTAGTGCAATGCAAAGAATAGAACTCCATAACCCTATTCAAAGCCAAGTATCACATTAAGCAACGTACTTCATGCATACATTCATAAGATCATATTTCATCATAACTTACCATATTCATAATGATCATACATGTCATAGCTTCAACATACATAAGTCATAAGAGAACACTACTACAACCATCTCTTAGGATCCCACAAGTGCAATGTGCAAGAGAAGTCCCATACCCTCCCTTACACTATGTAGAAACCTTTAAGAAAGCCCTAGTAAGAGTTCACACCTTTCATACCTTCATTTACTTTTACATTAGGGAAATATTGCAATAACCGAGATAGACCATGAGAGCTACATGGAATCCGGTGTTCTACTCCCACACCGAAAAGAGAGGGTTAACACTTGCCTAAGGTGTAACCATTCGTACATAGCTATCTAGGTGGATCCACTAAGCTAGAGTCCTATGTGGGCACATAGTTAAGGGTCAAGGAGATTGCTTCTAGAAACCCTAACTTACTAAATGTGGGGGTTTCCATCTCATGAGACAACACATACCGTGGGTAATCCGGACTTGCTAAACGTGAGGAAACCCATGTGGGGAGCCGGACTTACTAACGTGAGGCCCCCCATCTCATTTACATGCCCTTTCGGTGCTAAGCATCTGATTCCCTTTTGTAATCATCTTTAGTCATCACATAAGTTCACATTAGCCTTTACTAGACTCTTATGTAGACATCTTATCATAATAGCTCATATGTGTTCATAAGTGAGTAACAATCCTTTCACTTTAGAGACACTTAGCAAGTGAGTAAACCTTTCGCTTTACATTACACTACAATCATGAGAACTACCTTTCAATCATATAGCAATCATACCATAATATACATACATACTTCATAGCTAATTCAAGTGTAGAGGGTTAAGGATGAGGAAACTAGGTCATCAACACTACAATAACACATTAGGTATAGCATCATTACAATATACGTAATTCACCTTTCATACTTGAGTTCAAAGAAGAACCAACCTTCATACCTTCTTGCCCTTTGTGGGACATCCATAGTTCAATTACCAAGAAATTCATAACCAATACATAATACAAGGTAATTCATGAAGTAATATCATAATCAACATCAATATAAGCAATTGACATATTCCCTTCATAGCCTTCAAGGCTTCATTCAAAGACTCAACCCTAATTTCATAGAAATTATACATAACCTATGGTAGAATCATCATACAAACATGAATTAGATAACATCACATTCAATTCATAGCCTTCAATCAATATCCAACACAAACTAGGGTTATAATTAGGAAAAGAAGGAGAAACATGGGTCTCATGGGGAATTCTTCAAGAAACCACCAATACAACATAAATTCATCCATAATTGTTCATATAACATCACTACAAGAAAGTTAAGATACGACGACATTATATAAATGTTGTATTCACCTGTTTAAATGTCATAAATTAATTTACCAACATTTAATTTACATTTGGATCAAATGTCGTTTATTTCAGTGTCGGGAAATTTCTGACATTTACCTAAATGTCGTTAAGAAATTATGACATTTATTTTGTGACTTTTAGGTAAATGTCAATATGAAATTTATGACATTTATTTGTGACATTTTGATAAATGTCAACAATGATTTTACGACATTCATTTTGCAACATTAAGGTAAATGTTGATAGTCAATATATGACATTTATTTTGTGACATTTAGGGAAATGTCAATTAGGAATTTACGACATTTATTTTTTGCATTTCGGTAAATGTGGATAAGAAATCTCCGACATTTACTAAACATCACTTTAAATTTCTAACATTTATCTAAATGTTGATAAAAGTTTCTTTACGACATTTACTTTGGGCTAATATAAAATGTCACAATAAATTTTTGACATTTTAACCAATGTCAGCAAATAAAATGTTAAATGTCGTAAAAATTTGTGACATTTATGTAATATTTTGCAAATTTTCTTTAATTTTTTCTTTATTTAGATTAATAGTAGTACCAAATTTTTTAAAATATCAATACTAAAGCTCTCTATAATTTTTATTATGACACAAACTTAAATTATACATAAATCAAATGAATTTTAATAATATAATCAAATAGCAAGGTAGCAATATAATAAGTGTCCTGTAAAAGTTAAATGATCTCAAAGTAAATAATGTGTTCTATCTCAAGTAAAATTGAAATCTAACTAGATACTAGTAATTTCAAAACCACCTGCTTTTCACATTTTATCAACTCCTAATTGGATTAGATATCTTAATTTCTTGAATAAAATATGAAATAGCTTTGTAAAACCATCAATCCATAGGTTAAGCATCTTGTTGCTAGTAATTGATCACCTCAATCGTTCCCCTTCAAAAACTCTGTACAAAAAATTCACATAAAAAAAGAATTATGAATAAATGAAATTATTTCCTTTTTAACTAGAAAAAATTGTGAATTAAAAATAATAATTTTCTCTACAACAAACAATCGAAGAATCAATGAAATAACAATAATTATAGATTTTTCTCCAAAAAATGTTGTCTTGTAATTTTTTCCGACTTACCCACTTTTTTTTCCTTGGCCAATTGCACTTCTTTCCGTCTTCCGGACCGTGTTTTCCTGAGAAGAAATATTTGATTGTTTAATTTAATAGTTTACAAAATACAAAACTTAACAAATCTGTTAGAGAGGTAAACGGCTAAATAAATGTTATCCCTTATAGTACTATCTTATAAAATAAAATAGATTTAGTTACTCTCAAGTATTGCAAGCATTGTAAGACGCTAGGATACTAAATTATAAATTGTAGAATTTTGGAGAAAACAAAAGTTAATGAGGAGAAGGAGGCAGATGCGAAAGGATTTGAATCTCGTTGTAGGCATGAATTTCAGAAACAAGTTTACCTATCCACTTACACAAGCTGAAGCCTCGGTTGAAAGAAATGCTCATGTCAAGTGTATAACACAACCGACAAAATAGTTAGTTTACTAATGAGGAATCTCATCACGATATAGAAAATATAAGTAAAACAAAATCTAATAAAGATACTCCACCTTCCTAATGTTTTTGTGACACAGGAATTATGATAGAAAACTCATAAACATGGCCTCCACTTCTACTAACGGTAGAGGTAAGAAAGATCCTCCACCTTCCTAATGTTTTAATAAACTCTCCAGATGTTAGAATGGGTTCACCAATTCACAAGACAATGCAGCAAGCTATAGGCCATCAAATTAAAAACTCAACTGCTCGAGCAACAGTTCAAAAAGAGATTTCGTATCTCAACAATTGTGATGCTCTTTTGGATACCATTGTGTATGAGATCAACCTAACTACTTCTAAAATGGTTATCGCTAATCAGGAAGTAATTAACAAATTGAGGAAGAGAAAGAGAGGTTCACTTCTCATCCTATGCATAGCATATTGAACCCTGCAGCTCCTATTTTTGTTCCTAGAAGTGTTAAATCAGTAAGGCCTGGGCAAAGTTTGTTATCAAAAAATTAAGAAACAGAGTACCGATCACTTAACTAATCAGTCAACTATCATTAGAAACTTATCTAAGCAATCCATTGGAAATTTAAACTTTTTATTGTTAGTGAGAGTTGAGTGAATAATAAATTGAAAGGAGGTTCATGGCCAAGGGGAAAGATGTTCGAGTAACGGTGATTATGGAATGTACAAGTTGTGTCCAGCTGCTCCTTGAAGGAAAATTTCTAAGGCATCTATGTGACATATTTTTTAACCAATTTTTTTTATCACAGAAGCATAGTCCACTAAGGGAAACACTCATCAAGGATAGAAGAAAAAATCTACAATCGTATCCAAGAGGAAGTTAATATCGAGTGAGATATCAATAAAACAGTAAAGCAAAGGAATAAGGATGGACATATTTCAAAAGTTGAAGCACAAAAACAATGGAATGTTGTTTTGTAGGCTTCAGCGACTACTGGAAATCATCCCCCCTCAAGCAGCGGATACAAATCATAGGCACATACAGTAGAAGATTGCAACAGTTGGGATATATGGTCAGACAGACTAAAACAAGATCAGTTTGGGGTATGGATAAAAGTAGAGAATCGTTTGGCTTCCGCAGATTATCAAAGACATGAAGGAGTACATAGTACTGAGCGGCATAATCTTATGAAAAATAAATATTCCAAGTTGATTGAGGGGAAAAGAGATGTATGAATTGGAAAAAGATTGATACACATACAAGGAGTTGACTCGACTAATACATACATGGGTATAAAGAAAGATAATGCCCATATATTATGTCAAAATGAATGCAAAGAAACGGCATGTCTTAAGGAAAATTAGGAGGAGTCCTTGCACAAAAAAGAATCAAACCAATTGTAGCATATATATGGAGATAGTACCTTATGAAACAGAAGGGGGATCTTCTGTTACTAATAAGACCCAAATTTTGGATATTGATTAGGGGGAGGAGGATCAGTGCTCAAAACTACCACTTGATAATAATACATATGACGCCATATCAAAGGAAAATGAAGATGCTGCCCAGTTGAATACAAAGGACCTGAAAGAAAATATTAACCAGCGTATCATAATCACTAATCAAATCGAATGTCATAAAGGAATCAATACCATACAAGCTGGAACAAAAGATCAGGTATGTATTTCTGCTTTTGAGGTTTATTCTGAGTGCTTATCTCAGTCGTTAGCATTTGAACATTGTAATGAAAATAATAAGTTTAAGAAACTAGAATGACAATCAGAATGAAGGGAAAAAAAGGATAAACTGGAAACAATGCGTCTTCACTCTCCAAGTATGATTTTCTTAAGTGAAACAAAAAACAGTGAAAGGACGGTTAAGAGGGTACAAAGACAAGTAAATATGGTGCATTCTATAACTGTGGAGCCGATGGGATTATCAGGAGGTCTAGCTTTATTTTGGAATAATACTATCCAAGTATGTGAAACACATTCTTCTCCTTTTTATATCGCAACTTTGATACAAGTTGGCTTAGCTGATTCCAAATATTGGTGTATATTTGTGTATCGAAGTATAAATAGAGTCACTCGTATATATCAGATGCAAGAATTAGTTAAAAAATGCATAGATTGGGGTGCTTTGTGGGTCATAACTGGTGACTTTAATGATATTATTGATGGATCGTAAAAACAAGGAGGAAGAAGTAGAGATACTTGGACCTTTAAAGACTTTAAAATTTTTATATGGAACTTAGGTGCAATTGACTTAGGTTATAAAGGAAAACCTTGGACATGGTGGTGTTACAGGGAAAATGAGGGTATAATCCAGGAAAGGCTAGATCGTGTCTTAGTCTCTCCTAATTGGAAAATTAAATTCCATAATGCGAATGTGCAATATATTGAAACTGAGGCATAAGATCATTCTACCTTGATGTTGCCTTCTGATGCGGAACCAATTAGGAAGAAAAAAGGGTTTTACTTTGATAAAAGGTGGATTGAGCGTGAAGGAGTTTAGAATATTATTTCAAAAGCTTGGTTGTATGATTGTAATGGTTTTGAGAAATCTCGAGTTAGCTTTAAAATCAAACATTATCAGGAGATCCTTCCTACAAAAAGATTGTAACATGATGGAATGTGCCTATACAAGAGTGTGCTATGTTACAAGTTGTAAGGTGTCACGCCTCAAATCCCATTAAGAGGAACAGGCACCCGATGCCCTAAAGGTCCGAGAGAACCAACAAGTAACTTGTGCCTACTATGCATATAACTATGACAATCTTGTGACAAGTTCACATAGGATGCAGCGATACGAACCAACATAAGTAGACCCAAAACTTATATACAAGACTTGGCCGTTGAGGCCACAACTTGTTAAGACGCAACTGAAGCATATACATAAGTCTACAAAGCCTCTAAAAGATATAAAACCTTAGAGTAGGTCGGGACAGACCCCGCCTTACCCTTAACTACGATACAATACCAAAACGAATCTACCAAGGACTCAGTAAAGCTCCAAATCAATTTTGAGCTTACCGAAAGTAGCTGAGTATCGTGTGCCTCTACTGAGGAGGTCTACTAGCTGAAGTACTTGTGCCTGCAGCATGAAATGCAGCGGCCCCTGCGAGGGACGTCAGTACGAGAAAATGTACGGAATATGTAAGGCAATAACATATCTAAATATAAGTTCAATGAAACTAAGTATCAATATATGTGTGCATAAATAAGAACAGAAGACTACCTTGGTTAACTCTTATGGAATCATGTATGTTACATTCTTGTCTTTACCTTTCTGTGTGTTATGATCTTTATGAGGCATTTTAACCAATGGGATGCGGTCCTCATAATTATACAAATTAGGATCGGCCCATGCTAGGCTTTCGTCCCTGAGCTGCCACCCTTCTATACCAATTGGGATCGGCCCATGCTAGTCTTTCGCCCTTGAGCTGCCACCCTTAATTATACAGATTGTTTTACTTAGATTCTTTAATATTTGAGATTGTTGTTTTGGTGGTCACAATCATTTTCGTATATTTGGGAGTATGGCAGTAGTAGAAGACATGAAAATAATACTTCAAGGCAGTAACAATGACATAAGGAGCTATGTAACATAAATGCATTACTTGTGAGCTTAAATAAAACAATTGACTTCAACTGACTAAGAGGGGGATTCACCAAACTTGCTTTTTGCAAATACCATTTCTATACCAGCATATAGGAGGATAATTACACAAGTATAGAGTACTGAACATATAATGAAGTAATTCTATACACTAAGGAGAGGGGGAAATATTGTTAGCCATTTGGAGATCATATGTTGCCACTATGTTTCCTTTACTAGGAATAGAAATTAGGAAATTCACTTATTGATATTAATCTCAAGTATCAGATTTCATGCCGAAGAATATTGAATCGAATAGCCTTACATACCTTATCCTCTGATCAATACAACTATCACGATTCAGCCTCCCCTTTCAGGTTTTAATCAACAATATAAGTCATGATAAATTTAAATTAGTAGCTATCACACCGTGAGCCTCGTAAAACAGTAGCTAACTTTGACAGATAATGAGCCCATACAGCCCTTAAAACCATGTGAATCACCAAACCCTCCTTTTCTGCCTAATACATACATTATATATCCTTTTCCAAGATTATCCAAACTACACCAACAACAATACACATAAAACAGCGTCAAATATTCTTTTATCGTACAACTAATTATTGAACTCACCACCCCCTTGAGTTCTTTATGACAGTACACCCCTAATTCCTCACTCAAATTCATCCATAAGGAGGAAGAAAATGGAGCAGTCACCTTACCTCAATTTCTGCAACTTCTCCTTAAAACTTGAATTCTTCTAGAACTTCAACTTTCCTACACACTTAAACCAAAGAAGAAGAGAAAAGTATCTTAATAACCAAGGAAGTGAGCAGTAGCTTCTGGAAATATTATGCCTTTATACCTATACTTGAGCATGAATAACATGTTCTCCTAATCATCCATGGGAGAATTAAGCTAAATCCATAAGTGTTTTCACTTACCTTGTCTTGCAGAGATGAGGGTTTCTTCTAGAACCCTAGAAGAACTTTAAGTCTCCTGTTTAATCCTTAAGAGAAAGGAGAGAGAAAGAGCTAGAGTTAATCCTC